TCCTTAATAAAAGGACAACAACAGAAAGGAAGCCAAGGCGAAGCCGGGCTTCTGCGCTAGTTACTAAATATTTTCCCGATAATTTAATTTGTGTCTTGTATCGCCTATGACTAATAGGGACCAAGCGATATTTGATTTATAATAGAAGTATTCGCTTATCTGTTATTGCTTCAGCGCCAACTGCAGAATTTCGAAAAAACCGGCACCAACAAGCAGGGACGGCAATTCCTGATTGCCGAGTTTGGTGAATGGCCTGCCGATCGTGCTGCTCTAGACGCCCAGGAGGTCAACCGACTGATTGCCATTCAAGATGAGTTCATCCGCACTGGTTACTACCCGGGTGATGCGAGGGCTCCGGAAGATACGAATGATCAACCCGGTGGCGGCAGCGGTGGTGATGGCGATGCTGGCACGCGGCCCAAACCTACCTCCTTCTTTTGCCGTTTTCCGGATAACCTGCGCACCCTGGAGGAAGCCCTTGCCGAGCCCAAGAGGCGCGATTGTAAAGAGGAGGATGGTGGCGCATCAGATTTGGCAGTCGCCGTCACACAGCCGAAATCCGCGACGCCACCATAGGTGACTCTGCATTGTCTGCACACACACACACACACACATCAGTTGCTCCTAATAGCTTGCGCTAAACTTGCCTCTGGCACAATTTACCTCCAGAAATCACCACGTTGTCAGCATTTACACCTTAATTTGCACCCTTTGCCGACTTTCTTCTTCTGTTCTCTCGTTCTTATCCATATCCACATTTAACTTAAGCGCCTGTATTTGTTATACGTTATAATCTTTCAGCTCTGCTACTGTGCCTTCTCCTTTTCCTTTAGACAGTAGTTTGTACTCTTCATTTGCTGGCGCAAATTTAGGATTTGCTCCTCTCGCTCTGCTTAAACGAAAAGTAAAATAAGGTCGCCGGGACAGAGTAGAAACTGAAAAAGAAGAACCAAGCCCATACTTTTACTGTTGGAAACACTAAGAAAATATGTTGATGAACGAGCGCCGATCCGCAGCTCAATAGTTAGAACGTTGGACTTCTGCCAATGCGCAGACTTTGCGCATTTATCAGAAGAATGTCTACAGCTCTACCAGAGTTTCTGGGGCCATTCGTAACAGTGGTTTGAACAGAGGTCTCCTCTTCTGGTCAAACCGAAAATTCATTATGCGTAGGTTATTTTCCCCTGCGGCACGACAGTGTCTCAGCTGTTTTATTCTGTCCTCAGGCGACAGATCTACCTGCATCGAAATATTGCTGCCTTCAAGCCTCCGGTCACGGGTCAGAAGTAGCTTCAGAATTTGCTCGGATTTGAAAACCGCCTTCTGTGGTCTAGGCACCTAGTCTGAAAAGGTGTACCAGCGATACTTGTGTCCAGCATTTTTGAAATGATAGCGCTCATTGCTTTTGAGTCATTGTCAACACGTGTTTCCGTATTTATGTCCTCTGATTCAGGGACATTAAAGAAGAGTAATTCCTTTTTTCGATCTGTTTGTTTATTTAACGTTTAAGTTTTCGATGGAGCATCCGTCGACATCCCTGAGGCTCTGCACTTTTAAGTGTTGCTTTCGGGGTTTGTCACTCCGCTTTGACGTCATTTGCCGTACGAGATGTGAGTCTACATTCCGGATTATCTTCTGGTGCCGCTGTCGCCTGTACCGTCGTCGCAGCAGGCCCCCATTTGAATAAAGGGCAAAATTGATTTGTAAGGCCCCTCTAGATATATATCCATTCGCCCATCTGCTTCACGTATTTTGTAATCAGACATTTAATTCTTGGCTAGAGAGCGTAAATTAATATGTAATTTTGGCGGAAGTAATCAAAAAATATTCAATTAACTAAGATTATTTTTGTTTTAATATGTTAAAATAGAATAAAATTCGATCCACATAAACTTCTGTTGCGCGCGATATATTCTTAATTTATAGTATCAGTCAATGTGACTATACCTTTAAGCTAAAATTTACGTTTTCCTATTCTTGGGCACCTTATATAAATGTCTGTTGTGGCATATCTGAGCGCTTTGTATTAGGAAAGGTTAATTTAACCGGAACTTTTACTAAACAAGATTTGCCGCACCCGACAATTGATTTTGTTCTGGGTAAACTCTAGGAACGACGTAGTGAGCAAACAGGGTATTTTAGAAAACTGGAGTTCCCCTTTGTTTTAAAGCGTCGGATTTCCGAATATATGTAATTAAGTTTCCTAAATTGCACTTATAACGACTGCATATATAGCCCCTTGTTTAAACGTGTCGACATAGCCTTGCCGCTTGCGGATGCACTATGAGAAACCGCCAAACTGACCACCATCTAATCGTCACTTAAAATTTTGCGTATATGCAAAGATCTCTTTTGAGCTGTTTAGTCTCTTGTGCGTTTTTAGAAAGGAAACGCGGCATACTCGGTGAACAGAGTTTTGAAAACTCTGCCTGCGAACACGCACTAAATGTTCGAACCGCCGAGATCTCAGAGGTGGCAATCTGATATGGTATGGTAGTAATGACTTATGACCTACCAACTGCCGGCGCAACACTCAGTCTTCAAGGCGGGATTGCAGGCTGTCGTACTCGTCAAGGGTTTGCACCCTTGCGAGTAAAATCGCATCTGCTCGGGGAGCATTTTCTTGGCTGCATATTGAAGCCTGCCCGCAGTTATTTTGCCTTCTCCCTTCCTTTAGCAATTGCTGTTGAGCATCCATAATGTAGGCGGTAAAACTCTCAAGGTTAGTGGGGAAAACCGGTACTGCTGCCGTAATTCTTGCCGGATAGCGGATAATGAAACGTTTGACCACAACATACGTTGAGTTGAGTGGGGCGAATAGGTATTTTGGGGGCCCCACACTACAGTTTTTCCCAGTTAGCAAGCACCATCAAAGTGAATGTCAGCGTGGATAAAATAAATATTTTAAAAATTTATCCTGTCGTGGTAGTGCTAGTGCAGGTACTTTCTGGAGTGATAATTTACCGACAAATAAGGACCGCTAATGAAATGCATTCAAAAAATCAATCCGTCAGGAAAAATGATGTATCAAGAATTAACTAACAGACTAAGAAAAAGCTCAACATTTTATTTCGCTACATTAATAGTCGGATAAAAAAGGACCCAGTTGCAGTAATTGAGGACGATAATAACGTAGAAAGTGTTGAAACTGACAAGGAAGCCTAGTACTGTGGCGTGTTTTCTCTCAGTGTTTATTAGAGAGACCGAGCTTCTGTTTCACAATGTCAACAGTGTTGCTGTAAACGCTGGTCCAGCTCTTGAATCCCTATTATTCTCGACATCTGAAGTGGAAAGAGAGCCGCAAAACCTCAAAGGAGCTAAGACATCTGGTCCAGAAAATATATCCGCCGAGTTTATGAAGCGAGCTCCCAATACTCCTAGGATATTAGCCTGACCAAGCGCTAGCAATATTCGGAGGCTCTGCTAAGGTGTCCAGCCTAGCCAAGTTTCTTTGTTTGTTAGCTCTGACCGCATAAAGGCGATGACTGTCCACGCGAGATGACCTTAACGTCTGGAGAATACACAGATGCATGCCTTTGCTCGCACGCGCCACTGGTCGCAGTTGTCCCAATGCGCCAATCAGGCTAAAGGCAAACGCGCACTTGAAACTCTCTTATAAGATACTGTCACTCCTGACACAGGGAGGGTTGCAAGTGCGATCTTCAGACCATGGTTACTTAGTGGAGGAGAAGTCGGTTGAGGCCGGAGTAGTGGGAAGAGTATATTGTGTACCCAAGGGAAAGGAAAATAGATGGAGGAAGTCCTGACTTGGGAGAACACGTCCGCTCAGGAGATTGACCGGGTCCCAAGTGCGGCTTTAGCAGCAGGCATGCAAGTGGCAGCGAGAACGGGCATTGTCTGGCTGCCTTGAAGGTTATTGGT